GAGGTGGGGCCTTACCATCAGCCGCACCAAAACTAAGCACTTACCTGGGTATTTTGTACCATCGGACACTCCACCCCCACAACTCCCAATTGGTGATGGGGCAGTTGTAGAGAGAGTGGAGAGTTTCCCATACCGAGGCAGTGTGCTCATGACCGGCTCCAGTTTAAAAGCAGAGGTCTCGCTCCGAATCAGTCGAGCGGCAATATCTTTTCATCGGTTGCGTAACGCTGTGTGGAAGCTACCTGGTCTGTCGCTCCGCACGAAGCTTCAGGTCTTTTCGGCCACGGTCATTCCCTCCCTTCTCTACGTTTGCGAAACGTGAACCCCCTAATGGAGCATCTTCGCCGGTTGGAAACATTTAGGCTGGCCTGCCTACGATCCATCCTGGGTTTAACCAGGCTGGATTGTGAGGAGCTCACAAATCCTTGAAAGATCTGGGCAAAGTCCCATCGGTGAGCTCCTCCGGCAGGCAAGGCTGCGTTGGCTTGGTCAGGTCGCCTGCATGCTCAGCCACCGTATGCCTAAACAGCTTTTGTTCGATTTCGATTTAAAGCTTTCGTGACTGCAGGGATTCATCTTCTTGGTTCTTTCGGTAAAGTCACGTAGAAGGGAAATAATAAAATAATACAAATTTAACATAATAAAATACAATTCTCACGACGTTTCGGCCACAACGCAAGCAGCTGTCAGGTGAAGAACAGGTTTGTCGGAAAGACAGCGTCTGAATGAGCACCACCATTCTTGGCAGCATATATTGAAGCTGGGTTGGAAGGGGAAGGGCGCCTTGACAAGGGAATTTGGATATCAACAGGAATTTAGAATATTTATGGAAAATGCAGATATGGGATTAGTCACGACTTGTGGAATGCGTAGGACGTGGTGGGGGGGGGGGGTCTCAAAGTCATATTATGCCCGTGCATTATGTAGGATTAGCAGCAACAAAGGGAGGAGGTAGGGTTAGAAGTAATAAAGGGAAGGAATTTTAATAGTAAGGAGAAGCAGCAGCCAAACCACCACGTAAAAAACTAAAATATAAACTACATCAATAACATCAATATACTAAATATACTCTCCAATAAGCTGAGCTACTAACAGTAAGTCATACATTACAATTCTATGTTGCAAAAAATATAATATGCCTCCAGCTAAACTTTTTTCTCTTACATCACACGGGTCTACCCCGTACTATATACTGCCATATACAAACCCAACATTAAATTATATACTGCATTACTATACACCACCATATGCCTTAGACTATACATTGCAATATTACACTATGTATTATTCTACCCACCCTACTGTATACCACACTGCTGTATATTCACTATACAATTACGATACTATATATTACCTTATACATTATATTAAAAATTACACTTTTATACTATTTATTATTATACAATCTGCTAAACACTATACCATTGTTCATAATCAACGTTTTTGGGTTTAGATCGCGTTATTTATAAATGTGTCGTAACCCTCCACCACCCGACACGACCAATCAGTAAAAATGTGTCACGTTGACAAAGACAAATAGTTCACTGCTTTAGCCCACCGGTGTGTTGAAGCCACAACACTTACAATTTGAGTACGACGTTTTGCTGGTAATTGCATCCAGCATCATCGGGCAATTCGCCAGAATGGTGAGGCTCTGCTGTGTCTCCCGTTCTTATATAGAGCAGCAGCAGGGTGACGTCATCATTAACTCATTAACTCATCAGGTGCAAAGATTCAAGGGGGGAGTGATTGTAATTATATACTAGATTAGTAATCAGGCTATTGTTACGATGCGAGTTGTAGATTAGTAATCATTTGGAATGTGTTTTATTGTTATTATGCTACATTAGTAATCAGTTAGTGGTTGTTTCCCTTATAAGGAATTGTAATGTATCTTATTTAATAAAGTTAATGATGACGTCACCCTGCTGCTGCTCTATATAAGAACGGGAGACACAGCAGAGCCTCACCATTCTGGCGAATTGCCCGATGATGCTGGATGCAATTACCAGCGAAACGTCGTACTCAAATTGTAAATGTTGTGGCTTCAACACACCGGTGGGCTAAAGCAGTGAACTATTTGTCTTTGTCAACGTGACACATTTTTACTGATTGGCCGTGTCGGGTGGTGGAGGGTTACGACACATTTATAAATAACGCGATCTAAACCCAAAAACGTTGATTATGAATAACATTGGTCGCGAAAGCCTACGTGTTAAACTGACTATACCATTGACCGTCGCGTGAAAGGTACTAAGAAGAAGCAACGGAATATGTCAATGGGAGAGTGGTGCCAGGGGACTTGCAGCGGAGCAAAGACTCCATTCCCTGCGGAGAATACAAAAGATATATAGTCAATGCCAGTGAGTGGAACGTGGAGCTGAGTGGACTTGCCGATGACTGGTACCAGCGGTGTCAAGATCGGTCTCAGTGGAGGAGGTTCGCGAAGGACGCTACTGAGCAGTTGGAGGCAGTCGCCCTCCAACAACAACAGAGGGCGGAGGAGCGACGCTCACAACAACGAGCGGAGTGCCAGGTGGCTAAAGCACAGCCAGTTGGAAAAGTAGGGGGCACAGGTGGTGTATCAACCAGTCATCTCAGTCAGTCGACCTGTGGCACCTGGGTCTGCCCCCTGACCTCCTGCCAGCGGGCGTTCGACACTTTACGTGGCCTCAAGGTCTGGCACAAGCGTCGTGGTGACGTCACCGCCACTTAGTGGCGAATGGCGGTTGTTGTTGTGTGCGTGTAAGTCGATGTGTTTCTATGTGTGTGGGTCGATGTCTGTATGTAAGTCCATATGTGTGTCTGCATTTTTCCCCCGGGCAATGCCAGGTACTTACCGCTAGTTTATATATAAATTACAATTGTATATTAAAAAACCTCTCTTATGGTATCAATCTCCTGTCTTTCAAGAACTGCTTAAAATTGCTAAAATTTTCCTGGTGATGGTGTTTTCAATAAATTAATAATAGCAGCTTGGTTGGGCACTGGAGCAGTGTCCCAGATAGTACAAGGACCCATTGATGAGAATTTTTTGTATTTTAATGTTGTCTCTTCACTGTGATACTTAAATATGTTATGATTATTAGTTTTAATGATAGCTAACATTTATAGTGTGTGCTCTGCAGTTGTCAAGGTGAAAAGTGGGCAAAGTTTTACTCAATCATAGATAGCTAGCTCTACAAATTTAATGAACATGGTCGTCTTGTGGCGTGGTTCTCTGATCTAACACCGGTGGTAAGACAAGGCCATAAAGAAGGTTATCTCTGGTGTAGGCCAATTTGTTTCACAATGCGTAAATTATCAAGACCATGTTTGTTTGCATGTTCACCACAAGTACGTGTAGTTAATGCAGAATTTATGTATTGTAAAAATAATCTATTTGGTGTTTAAACATCTTAACACCTCCTGTTTTATTGTCAGAAAGGGTAAAACCTCTTATTTTATTCATCATTTATAAACATCTTAACCGTGTTTGTTAGTGAGAAAAAAAAGAGCTGCCATGTTAAAGCCACTCTCTGTCTATAGGGGATGTAAGCACACAAAGGGAGCTGCCATGTTAAAACTACTTTCTGTGTGCTTACATCCCCTATAGACAAAGGGATCTGCCATATTAAAGCCAGTGTGTGCTTACATCTATATATATAAAAAAGGGAAAAATGTGTGTCTGTTCTAAATGTTTAGCATCCTTCCCGACATGCAACAAACTTGAAATTTGGCATGTGGGTAGTTTCCAGACTGCACACAATGCAGAAAGTATAAAAATAGACTTTTGTATTTCGGGGGGGGGGGGCACATTAATGGATATCTATTGCACGGAAAGTCCCGGGCGAAGCCGGGCAGTAAACCTAGTCCCCTATAAACAAAGAGAGCTGCCATATTAAAAAGTCACTGTCTGTGTGTGCTTACATCCCCTATAGACAAAGGGAGCTGCCATATTAAAGTCACTGTCTGCATGTGCTTACATCCCCTATCAACTGTAACATAGGACAGAATTCCTCTGCAATAATGACCGATTACCATCTAACCCATCTGCAAAACTTCCCTCTCTCGGCACGCAACAATTTGTAATCCTCCAGACCTCGTGAATCTACGGTCACAATCCACGCCATGTTTGAGGAATGAGCCCTTGCCTTGTGCGTAATGTTGATTTGTACCATCAACCGTAATGTGTCCCGTGTCGTATCACATTTGTATCGTCTCATTTTGATCTGTGCCATCTCATCCAACAGCGACTCATCGGTACTACATCTTGCACATTCTGACAATGAGCAGAATCGGCACAGAATTGAAATCTTAAGATTACTATTAGACAGCTATCTCTCGTTTTACGTGGGGGTTGTGTCCTTGAAAAACGGCAGAGAAACTCAAAATCACCTAAATAAAAAATTTTCCCCACTAGAAATAAAGGAAATGGTTGGTGTTAGGGAGAGCACGCTATCAAGCCTCACTCTTACATCTACATATTTCACTGGTTACAGTAGGTACATATTATATTTACAAAACCTAAAGACATCAATTAAACAAAAACAATATAAACATATTAAAGTTAAAAAAACTTTTAACACAGTGAGATGCTTACCGGACATATTGAAAGGCAAATGCGTGCACAAGACAAAGTTCACGCGGGACAAAGATCTTAAAACGTCACGTGAGGAGCAGATGCTGACTGATGCTGATGTTCTGCACTTCTGGCTGTTATCGTATTGCTGCTGAACCTCAGGCAGCATCGCTACCTAAACTTTCCGCCCTGACTAACCATCAGCTCACAGCGCATTCCGAACATCGTGGCCAAAGGCACTGAAGCACGTGATTTCAACAGTTGCGCGCATAACAAAAATAAGTGTAAATTAATCTGACGCGCCAATTCCAAAATCACGTACGTAAACACGCGTAAAACGAGAGGCGACCGTACTAACCACAATGCACGCATCATGAGCGTAACGCACATTAATTACACCATGACGACACGCGAACATTTATCACCACGTGTGCGCACACTACCTGGCAAGCTCCAAGAAGATGAGGGCATCTCTGAGCGACACCGGGACGTCGTTCTCCACCTGGTTATTCGGGGACTTCACGAGGTCCACGATGAACGCATCGCCAGCTCTGGCGGCCACGACCATGTGGACAATCTGTCCCTGGAGCATCTCGGCAAACGCTTTGCTCGACTCAGCACTCCAACCCTGACCCTGGCAACGACAAATCCCCGTGCACAGAAAATGAATAAGTGGACAGAGCCAGACATAAAAAAACACGACGGGGAAAAAAAACTGATGACACGCAACACGGCAAACATGACTTCGTTCTCCCCCCAATGTGCACATTATTACACAAAGTGTACATGTGTAGTGAGTCCAACTGAGTCGCAGACATTCCTTTTAGAGGCAACACCTTTAATTGAAACATCGTAACACAAAGGGGTAATTGCCCCTTTACCAGATACAACCTCGGGTGTTGAAAACCCAGCCAACTACACTATACAGGGGAGGTACTGCTACGAAGGGTCGGACCCTCGCTCAGGTCTCCGACCACGTGGTCCCCCATAGGACGAGGCGCTTCCAGCTTGAGACGCGGAACTTCCGGCTTGTAGCACGAAGAGACCCCGGTCCCTCTCAGGGACCCGCCTTATATCCCTCTCCGGTCGGGGCCGCTCCGCCCTCGGCCCCGCCCGCCTTCCCGAACATTCTCATTCCCTCTCGATCCTCCTCAAGAGCTCTCTCCGGACACGTCATCACCCCCGAGTCTCCCCACCTGGGGCCCCCTGTATGGACATTCCTGATCACGTGTCTACGGGGTCAACCAGAGTGCCATGGCCCGGGGCAACCCTGCCCCTGGGCTGACACTCACCCCCTCCACCTCGGGGGAGCCCCCACCACACACTGTGTGTGGTGCCCGCACTATCCCAGTGCTCGTCAACCCCCGCTAGGGCTGGTATTGTACACAGCCACCCACACGGTGCTGTCCCCGCTAGGGCTGGTATTGTACACAGCCACCCACACGGTGCTGTCCCTGCTAGGGCTGGTATTACACACAGCCACCCACACGGTGCTGTCCCCGCTAGGGCTGGTATTGTACACAGCCACCCACACGGTGCTGTCCCTGCTAGGGCTGGTATTACACACAGCCACCCACACGGCGCTGTCCCTGCTAGGGCTGGTATTACACACAGCCACCCACACGGCGCTGTCCCTGCTAGGGCTGGTATTACACACAGCCACCCACACGGCGCTGTCCCCGCTAGGGCTGGTATTACACACAGCCACCCACACGGCGCTGTCCCCGCTAGGGCTGGTATTGTACACAGCCACCCACACGGCGCTGTCCCTGCTAGGGCTGGTATTACACACAGCCACCCACACGGCGCTGTCCCCGCTAGGGCTGGTGTTACACACAGCCACCCACACGGCGCTGTCCCCGCTAGGGCTGGTGTTACACACAGCCACCCACACGGCGCTGTCCCCGCTAGGGCTGGTGTTACACACAGCCACCCACACGGGGCTGTCCCCGCTAGGGCTGGTGTTACACACAGCCACCCACACGGCGCTGTCCCCGCTAGGGCTGGTGTTACACACAGCCACCCACACGGGGCTGTCCCCGCTAGGGCTGGTGTTACACACAGCCACCCACACGGGGCTGTCCCCGCTAGGGCTGGTGTTACACACAGCCACCCACACGGCGCTGTCCCCACTAGGGCTGGTGTTACACACAGCCACCCACACGGGGCTGTCCCCGCTAGGGCTGGTGTTACACACAGCCACCCACACGGCGCTGTCCCCGCTAGGGCTGGTGTTACACACAGCCACCCACACGGGGCTGTCCCCGCTAGGGCTGGTGTTACACACAGCCACCCACACGGGGCTGTCCCCGCTAGGGCTGGTGTTACACACAGCCACCCACACGGCGCTGTCCCCACTAGGGCTGGTGTTACACACAGCCACCCACACGGCGCTGTCCCCGCTAGTGCTGGTGTTACACACAGCCACCCACACGGTGCTGTCCCCGCTAGTGCTGGTGTTACACACAGCCACCCACACGGCGCTGTCCCCGCTAGTGCTGGTGTTACACACAGCCACCCACACGGCGCTGTCCCCGCTAGTGCTGGTGTTACACACAGCCACCCACACGGCGCTGTCCCCGCTAGTGCTGGTGTTACACACAGCCACCCACACGGGGCTGTCCCCACTAGGGCTGGTATTGCACACAGCCACCCACACGGCGCTGTCCCCGCTAGGGCTGGTATTACACACAGCCACCCACACGGCGCTGTCCCCACTAGGGCTGGTATTGCACACAGCCACCCACACGGGGCTGTCCCCACTAGGGCTGGTATTACACACAGCCACCCACACGGGGCTGTCCCCACTAGGGCTGGTATTACACACAGCCACCCACACGGCGCTGTTCACGATGTAGGAACATCTAACGGCACGACCCTTCCGGGCCGGCACCATACAGTGACAACCCCGATGTCACTGCACAGGCAATAACATGCCGATTGTGCTCGACAGTACACAGTTACATGCACATTTCACCCCTTGCGATGTAGAGTATATAGTAAATAAAAAACTTCACAATTAAATATTTTTGATACAATTTAAACAAAAATCTCATTAAATTTTAAACTTTAGCCAAGTGGTTCCCCTCACCTCATTAATGTTTAACATTGTTCGAGAGAGCAATGCAGCTGGGCAATACCCCCCCTTGGGCCCAGCTTCAACTCACAGCAGCCTAATAAGTTACAGAGCGACCTTGCCTCTAAACAATGAGTTGTCATGACAAAGGGAAATGTATTGCAGCCAAATACTCTAAAATGCATGATGTCGATTCTCAACGTCGAGGGAAAAAACCTGTGGACCTCGAGAAACATCCACGCAATCCACGGGTTGCGCAAACTCTAAATATACAGGTGTCAGGGTCGGGATAGAACCCACGACCTCCTGTATACCAGGCAAGGTAGATAACATCTCAATGGTCTCAGCCAGGTCAATGACTGCACACACATCAGATTAAATCTTGTTTCACACTGAAACATTTGTCCAAATTCCAGCTCTTGAGATGTAAACATGTTGGTTTGATTGAAACGTGAGAAACACCGTTTGCAAGACATTAAAATGTGCCTTAAATGTGGGTGAAGGTCCAGAAACACTTCTCTGATGTATCCCCTCTGGAGCCATTCACTGACACAAAGTGATGCACTGCTAGCAACAGAACTGTGGAGAGGGCATCTCACTGCTCGGTCAAAACAGCGCAATTGGAACTGGGGAAAAACTAAAAAATAACGAAGCCATGAAAAACACGCAGTTGATTTCCTGCAGTCGACTTCCCCGAGTTAACCTGCAGGATGACACGCGGCTGTCTAGGCCCACGTGAGGATTGTGGCGTCCGACTCACCGTGACTACGATCGTGGCCTGAGTCACCGTGACGACAATTGTGGAGTGTCTCACCGTGAAGACGGTGGTGGCGTGTGACTCACCACGACGAAGGGCACCACATCCTTGAGAGCACAGCGCACGGCGGCCGCTGGGACTTTCTCAAACAGACTCATGAGCTCATGGTCTGGACGACGAAGATGTGGCTGCAAATCCGAAACCACGCACGCGGCATTCCTTCTGCTCTGCTTGAGCGCACGTTTACTGGAATACACGCGTACTTATTTTAACTGTTGAGCATCACACAGATTCACGTACGTGTACAGGTGCGACGAGTACTATGTCCATGGCATATAAACAATAAGGGGCATCCATCCATTTACGAACGTTTGGTTTACAGAATCATGCGTGAACGCCAATTTACAAATTATGGACGCTTTTTCGATGAACGAAATCAAATTTCGGCGTTAACAAAATGTCACTACGGCCACGCACGCCGTGAGATCGGCAAACAATAATCCACCACCGTGTCCCTGCAACAGCAATGCATCCACATCACCTGCTGGGCATTCCAACACGCAGCAGATCTTTTGCAGAGAACCATCTGGCTACCATGAGAGATTCATTCATGAGGCTATCCACATATACAAACACAGAGACAATTTCAACAGAGAAGATGGATTCTGGCTTAGCAATCATTGGAATGATTTGATAAACCATTCTGGGTCTTAATTGATTGTGTTCACGCTTAAGGTGACTTTCAGAACGCATTCCATTATCTTATTCTACACCCTCCTCTTTTCCGAACATAAATAGACTCGTCCATCTGACCAACTGCCAAATTGCTGTCCATGGTGCTGACGTTAAGAAAACAAGCATAACCCGTAAAAACAAAGTTTTTCACTATAAATCCTTTATATGCGTGGCGGCTAGAGTCCTCTCGTCCTCTGGCTTGAGATTGCTGCCACCTATGGGTCAGATGATTGCATGGCAGCATTAAGCAATTGGTAATTAAATATAATATTTTTGTCCTAAAAAGTGTAAAATTTTGGAAAAAAAAATTCACGAACATTAATTGTCATGCACAACGAGTCTGTGTGGAAAATGTCAGCTAAATTGGATCACGGGAAGTGGGTTAAAAAAACGACCGAAAGATTTGCACGGTCCTAAGCAAGCAAGAAAGTGAACTTAATATAAAGGATTTAAAAACGCCACTTTTTTCAAATTTTCTTGCTGTGGATTTCACACCTAATGATTGCTTGTCGAAACGTCGTGATAATTTAATTATTTAACATTTTTATTATTTTATTATTTCCCTTCTACGTGACTATACCGAAAGAACCACGAATATGATGTTATTTATTAATTTTGTATATTGAAACGCAATATCGGTGTGTTTTTAGGCTATAAGTAGAGTTGGAATGACTACATCCATAATTGTTAGTATTAAAAAGAAGTTCCTGATTTACGAAAATTATTTTTATGCCATGTGTGTGCGTTTGAAGAACACATCCCTTCTGTAAATCGAGGGATACCTGTACAAGGCTGAGAGTGCATTTCAGATTACTGTTGGAACAATGCTAGATCTCAGGTGGGTTTTTATATTTTGCTGCATCCATAAACTTGACAAAATTCCACCTGCCCCACAAACATGTAAAAAACAAACACCACATTTTATTTGTAATAGAGTGCAATGAGATTTTTTTTAAATTGCTTTAAAAATGGCTCTTACCAGTGTTATACCAGAGAACGCCAAGAGGCGAACGGTACAAAGTCTTTGAACTGTTCGCTAACAAGGCCACAAAAAGAAGGCTATGTATTTTGGTGTTTGAACTTCTTAACAAGTAAACAGGTAAAATATATTCTTATTTTTCATAATTTTGATCCTGGCTAAAAGGTGCCAAAGAGAAAATAAGCATCGAATAAAATACCAGAGCAGAGAACTTAACAAGACGGTCGGTAAAAAAGGAATGAATCCCAAAAACGATTGAGGTTTTGGAGCTCATTAGGGCCGCGGTCAGTTTAGGCATCACACCACCATTGGCCATGGCTGGAGATCAAACTCGAGATCTCACAGCGATCATCACAGGACAAGTCTACCCCCCGAAACACGGCACACACCCCCGCAACAGGGATTACCCAACAGAGAAATTGTCAAATAAAAAAAACCCTTAAGTGGAGAAATGCGGGAAATATTGGAGAGATGGATTATACAGTGGTACCTCGGTATACGTCGTTAATTCGTTCCAGAAGGTAGGACTTATAACGAAAATGACATATACCAAACGAATTTTTCCCATAATAAATAAAGGGAAAGGAAATAATCCGTTCCAGAGTATAAGAAATGATATTTTAGATGGCATATTATACATTAATGGGGTTTCGATTTAAAGCTTTCGTGACTGCAGGGATTCATCTTCTTGGTTCTTTCGGTAAAGTCACGTAGAAGGGAAATTATAAAATAATAAAACATAATAAAATACAATTCTCACGACGTTTCGGCCACAACGCAAGCAGCCGTCCTCAGGTGAAGAACAGGTCTGTCGGAAAGACAGCGTCTGAATGAGCACCACCAAGCTTGGCAGCGTATATTTAAGCTGGGTTAGAGGGGGAAGGGCGCCTTGACAAAGGAATTTGCATATCAAGGGGAATTTAGCATATTTATGGGAAATGCAGATATGGGATTAGTCACTACTTGTGGAATGCGTAGGAGGTGGGTGGGGTCAAAGTCATATTATGCCCGTGCATTATGTAGGATTAGCAGCATCAAAGGGAGGGAGTAGGGTTAGCAGTAATAAAGGGAAGGAATTTTAATAGTAAGGAGCTGCAGCAGCTAAACCACCACGTAAAAAACTAAAATATAAACTACATCAGTATCATCAATATACTAAATATACTCTCCAATAAGCTGAGCTACTAACAGTAAGTCATACATGACAATTCTTACATAACACGGGTCTACCCGGTACTATATACTGCGCCATAGACAAACCCAACATTAAATTATATACTGCATTACTATACACCACCCTATACCTTAGACTATATATTGTAATATTACACTATGTATTATTCTACCCACCTTACTGTATACCACACTGCTGTATATTCACTATACAATTACAATACTATATATTACCTTATACATTATATTAAACATTACACTTTTATACTATTTACTAGCTGTACTACCCGGCTTCGCCCGGGACTTGTATCCACCACGGCCGGCCGCCTTTGTCTCCCCAGTGGCGATGTTAATACGCCACACCAGTTACTCGTTTGAGGCTGAGTCGACCTATGGGAGGTTCAAATAATCTTGACCGGTGGTGGCCATGAGCGGGAATCGAACTCGGTTCGCCGGGTTGGTAGCGCAGCGTAGCGTTAACCACTACACCCACCGCTCCTCACACACACAGATGCACAGACACACACACAGACACACGCAGAAACACACAGACAGACACAGACAGACACACAGACAGCACGCTAACCACTACACTACCGCTCCCCACACACTACAGACACACACACAGAACACACACACAGACACACAGACAGACACACACACACAGACAGCACGCTAACCACTACACTACCGCTCCCCACACACCACACACGCACACACACAGACACACACACAGACACACACACAGACACACACACAGACACACGCAGAAACACACAGACAGACACAGACAGACACACAGACACACAGACAGCACGCTAACCACTACACTACCGCTCCCCACACACCACAGACACACACACAGAACACACAGACAGACACACACACACAGACACACAGACAGCACGCTAACCACTACACTACCGCTCCCCACACACCACACACGCACACACACAGACACACACACAGACACACACACAGACACACACACACAGACACACACACAGACACACACACAGGCAGCACGCTAAGCACTACACTACCGTTCCCCCTACACACCACACACGCACACACACAGACACACACACAGACACACAGACACACACACACAGACACACACACACAGACACACACACACAGACACACACACACACAGGCAGCACGCTAAGCACTACACTACCGTTCCCCCTACACACCACACACGCACACACACAGACACACACACAGACACAGGCAGCACGCTAAGCACTACACTACCGTTCCCCCTACACAACACACGCGCGCGCGTCCATAGGTACACATACACGCGCTTGCTGCAGACATACACACACATACATACACGCACATACACACAAACACATACACACACATACACACACATGCATACACACAGACATACACATACATACAAACACACACATACATACACACAAACACATACACAATACACACACACATACATACAGACACACACATACATACACACAAACACATACAGACACATACATACACACATACATACAGACACACAGACATACACATAAACACATACACACATAGTCATGACCCGGCTTTGCCCGGGACTTGTATCCACCACGCCCGGCCGCCTTTGTCTCCCCAGTGGCGATGTTAATACGCCACACCAGTTACTCGTTTTGAGGCTGAGTCCCTCCCTCGCCACTCTGCCTCCCTCGCCACTCTGTAGAGGACGTGAAATTTGTATGAATTTACCTCAGAGTGGCGTGTTGGGTGTCGAGGCCTAGCACCGTGCAGAGCCTCCCGCCTTGCCTGATTTTCCCACCCGGCGAACGCTGGGTACGGGTGCCGGTCCCCCCCCCCCCCCGCGCTATTAAAAATGGCGTCCACCCCGCGGAGAAAAGTTGCTACTCGTTGCCAGGGGCAACCGCCGTCCAATGAAAGCGGCGAAGGCGTCGTTAGCTGTTGCCAGGGGCAACCGCCGTCCAATGAAAGTGCGTATGGTCCGAAATCCACACACACATACACAGACAGACAGACAGACATGCACGATTTTATATATATAGATTATTATACAATCTGCTATACACTATACCATTGACCGTCGCGTGAAAGGTACTAAGAGGAAGCAACGAAATATGTCAATGGGAGAGTGGTGGTAGGACACTTGCAGCGGAGCAAAGACTCCATTCCCTGCAGAGAATAAAATATATATAGTCAATGCCAGTGAGTGGACTGCGATCTGAAAGTCACCATAAACGTGAACACAATCAGTTAAGATCTGAAATGGTTTATTACGTCCTTCCAATGATTGCTGAGCCAGAATCCATCTTCTCGGCTGAAATTGTCTCTGTGTTTGTACATGTGGAACTTTCTACAAACA